GCTTCTCCAGATGTAGTTTATATAGTTTGATGTAGTTTAGTGTAAAATGATCTAACTAAGCCTAACAGTTTTTAATTATTAATCAGGTTTCATATTCCATGTTTTATATTTAGTTATGTTTCTTTTTGGTGATTTTCTTTGCCCATTCAAGCAGTTAATTTGATCGATAAAGACTATAATATAAACATGGCATAAAAAAAACAGCAGCATTATCAGCAAAATTAAACTTGGTGTAGTTTAGTGCAAACTAATCTTAGCCTAACAATTCACAACCTGATCTTCTTCCACAAAAACTTTTTTTTTTCTGTTATATTGTAATATTATAATTCAAATCAAGTATAAAGTAATGTGTCAAACTTTAAAAAAGTCAGGAAGTTGTTCACAAACATCTTTTCTTTTAGCATTTTTTGACTTAGCTAAGCTTTTATGATATGTGATCCACCACTGAACTGGAAGTCATACTGGCTTACAAGTTGAAAGTAACATAAGAGCTTCCATTAGGTACTTGGATCCTTAGTCTGTGACTTTTCAAAGTTGAGGTATAAGCAGTTACATCACTCCAAAACAACCAAGATTGAAAAACAGCGATTGGTTACAGACAATAAAACAATACTTGTATCGAAGTTACGATGTCCAAATTGGCACCATTTTGTTCAAAGTGTTACATTTTTTCTCCCTAGGAGGGGGGTATGTGAGTCGTATTATTCTCAGAGAAAATTATGTAAATTCACAAACACTAATGTTTTCTTGCAGTGTCACTGCATTGTAATGTGGGTAGTATTAAACTAGAATTAAAATTCGTTTAAAAAAGGAAGTTCCACCACATTCATATTGGAGCTGTCATTTGGCCTGCTTCAGGAGTTTTCGTCAGGCTTAATGAGCAATGTAAACATACAGCTGTAAATAAAAAGCTAAAAAGAACAGTACTGAGAATGATGGAGTCCAGGAAACCATTTCTGGGGATGAAAAATAAAAATTTCTCTATTTAAAAAAAACCCAGCGAGGCCATGAAAATATACCTAACACACCTTGGTTTAGATATAAGCCCCAACTGAATGATATTTTTCATGTGTTTTATCTAATTAATGCCAAAAATGATATAATAGCAATATACAATAAATTTCAACCACAATGTTGTTCTTTTAAAGTTTTATATTTACAATTTTATGTTATGTTGTTCGTTAAGCCTGATCGCTACTTGAGAATAAGTTGAAATCTAGCTCCAATAAAAGAATTTGGATTGCTTTTTAAAGTGTGCTCCTCCCAGTGGGACAGTGGTAAGTTTATGGACTTACAACGCTGAAATATGGGGTCAATTACCATGGTAGACAAAGCAGGTGTCTAATGTGGCTTTGCTTTGAAACAAACAAACAAGCTTTTTAAGAATTTTTTCTCTGGACTTTATAGTTTGCTTCACACTGAAATCAACCTAAAATCAAAATTTTGGAATTGGAAACTATTCTTGTGCTTAGAATTAACTCAATTAAACTTTTTTTTGTTCAGTAAATTTCAACTCTGAAGTATTGAAAAATGTTTGGAAGAGTGAATACAAGTTTATTTTTGATAAATATTTTAATTTAATTCAGTAGTTTTGCCCTTGAGCAGTGGGTGCACCCTACCAGGTATCATAGGGCTAATTGTCTTGAAAGTTAGACAAATATGTTGTGTTTAAATGAATTGTTACAATATTATTATGTAGTTTAAATATATATAATTAAACTCTGTAACTGAGTTCTGTCAAGAGGATTAAACTCTGTAACTGAGTTCTGTCAAGAGGATTAAACTCTGTAACTGAGTTCTGTCAAGACCATTAAACTTTATAACTGAGTTCGCTCAAGAGAATAAACTTTATAACTGACTTCTATCAAGAGCATTAAACTTTATAACTGAGTTCTGCCAAGAGCATTAAACTTTGTAACAGAGTTCTGTCAAGAGCATTAAACTTTGTAACAGATTTCTGTCAAGAGCATTAAACTTTTATAACAGAGTTCTGTCAAGAGCATTAAACTTTTATAACTGAGTTCTGTCAAGAGCATTAAACTTTGTAACTGAGTTCTGCCAAGAGCATTAAACTTTGTAACTGAGTTCTGTCAAGAGGATTAAACTTTACATCTCATTTGTTTTTAGGAAATTGGTGAACAACAGCCATACTGCTGGAGAAATATATTTTCCTGTATCAACCTACTCAGAGTTTTGAACAAACTAACAAAGTGGAAACATTCTCGTATTATGGTTGGTACTGATTTTTGCCTTCATATTAAAACTCTAAAATGCTAACCCTAAGTTCAACTTTTGCCCTTCTGATTGTTCCTCATAGGGATTGTAAATTTATAAAATTTTATTTTAAAGCCTTCTTGGACCACATGCCTTCAAATAATGTAATAATATCGTGGCTTTGTATTTTTTTATGTACTATATAAAGGTAATAAATTAGTTTTATTATAGCTGTGCAGTTCCTTTTCACTTTACAAACCTTCCACTTGAAACTATGGTGGACTTTGCCCTGACTGTAACTTAGAGTTTAGTGGGATGTCTTTTTGAAACAGTTGTGTGTGATATCTAAAAGGAATGAATTGGAAAAATTTAAATATTATTTATTTATACTAGTTTTTCTAAGATGTTTAATTGCCAAATTTCTTGGAACAAAGTGGGCTAACATGTGATGTGGTAGACCTGTGATGTATAAACCAACATTATACTGACTCAGACATATTATACTATGAAGAAAACAACCATGAACTCCACAACATGGTTCTTTTATATTTAACATTTTTTTACAATGTGTTCAGTAGTAACCTTTTAAACTGGTTGTCTCACAGTTGTATCATTACTAATGAGTGTGTGTTTGTAACCTTACTTTCAAGTCAGTGATTACAGTAATGTTGCACATTACAGAACTACTGAAAGTACAAAAATAAAAAGATTCTAATTGGGGGTTCAGAAATGTTCAGTAGTTATTATACGTTGTTTTCATTATCCGTGTTACAGTTTCATTTCTGAGTTAATTATTATGAATGCAAATATACAAATGGCACTCAGCCGGATAGGATTATTACACCTTATGTTGTATGTGTAAATGCAATATTTTCTATGCTTGTACAATACTCGTGTACGACTGTGGTGTATGGTGTGATTCATTATTTTCAGTTTGGTGTGTTAAATAGTACAGCAGAATTGTATGGTTTGCTGTATTACAGCCATTAGTACTCTGAGTGTGTTCTACGAATTATATGATCCTTTACTTTTATATGTTTCTATGCAAGTTCTTTGGATTGTTACTTGGTCAGTATCTTTAAGTAATTAGTATTTTGTTATTTATATGTTACAGTACTGTTGTATGTCTGGTGGGTTGTTTGCTAATACTGTTGTATGTTTAGTGGGCTGATGCTAAAGAACCGTTCTATGTGTTACATGCTACAGTACCCTTCTGTGTTTAGTATTGTGTTACATGCTACAGTACCCTTCTGTGTTTAGTATTTAGCATCTTCCTTTATATTTTTTTATTTTCATATTTAACATGATCTGTTCTAGGTTAATAAAACACTTGTTGTGAAAACATATTGATTTTTACATGATTAGATGATAGATAGATCTTTAAACATGATTAGAGATGGCCCGGCATGTCCAGGTAGTTAAGGTGCTCGACTCGCAATCTGAGAGTCACGGGTTCGAATCCCTGTCACACCAAACATGCTCGCCCTTTCAGCCGTCGGGGCATTATAATGTGACGGTCAATCCCACTATTCGTTGGTAAAAGAGTAGCCCAAGAGTT